ACGTCTTAGTACACCTTGCTACTCCCCCAGGTCTCTATCTGCAAGTGAAAGAACAGTCCTCCTATGTCACCAAAGAGCACCTTGAGTATTAAAACCCTTGTCTCATTGGATCACCATCTTTTCTAAGGCCCTAAGCCCCTAGGGCAGGATCTTGTTCTTATCACATAATAGAGCATTGAAATGTTTCACTGAATAAATAAGTGCTTTTATTTATTCGTGTACTCGATCTCTCTGGGCTGTTGACTCTTTTTTTGTTTGTTTATTGATTTATGATGATGAATCACTTCTGCTAATGGAGTACCCATGATATCCCAGGAAGCTTTTATTACCAACATTAATTTTAATTTTGAGATGAGTATTATTATTCTCCATCTACCTCCTAAAATAAGAAAGAGAAAGAATTGAAAGAAAAAAAAAACACAAAAAAGAAAAAGAAATCAACTGCATTTCTGAGCCTTTGCTATGTGCCAGGAATCCGTTAAGTGCTTTAAGATGCATATTCTAGGAAAACATATTTTAGCCTCACTTTATACACTAAAAAATATCAAAATGCAGAGATGTTAAATAACTTGCCAAGTGTCACATGTACAGATAAATTGATAAATGCTGACTGATATGCCTGGTTGTGTACTTCTTTATCCAAAAACATTCAGTAAACATTTATTGAATATCTGTACATGGCATGCATGGTGCTTGGCATGGAAATACAGAAAGGTTCAAGCTTGTCAGTCAATAAAAGGAACAGACAAGTGAGTCACCAATTGAAACATGGCCTAATTTATGCTCTACAAATGTATGCTCATGGCTCTGGAAGTGTCAAAAGTGAGCCAGCTTAGCTGAAGCGCCACTCCTCCTGGGAAGCCTATTCTCAACTCTGCATATCTGCAGCTGAGCCACAGATTGTAAGTGTTAGCAAGGCAGAGCAAGGGTAGGAGGGATTTGTAGGCAGAGACTCGAGTATGTGCTAAGGCCTGAAGGCTTCTCTTCCCTCCTGTGAAATTCATTTCAAGAAGAGAATTCATTTTCCAAATTAGGCATAAAAACAAAGATTACAAGATACAGCCACCTATTGCCTTTTGAGATAATTAAAGGGCCCTGGACCAAAATTTTTCTTCTCGTATTTACAGAGAGGTTCTTTCTGAGTTTGAGGATTAAACAACCCAATATATCAGATATATAGTAAATGCAGTGTAAAAATTATGTCTATATATTTATTGAGGAAATGTTTTTCTTTATGCTCCGGTAAGCAGACAATTTACTGGTAAAAACCAAACAAACAAACAAAACAAGCGTTTGCCTTTTGGGAGCTCACAGAAATAAAAGAGGCATTTATGCAAAGAGATCCAACAACCCATTAGGAGCCATGACCAGGATGAGTACAGGGCAGCTAAAACCGTAAGGCAGGGAAGGGTGTCCCACCCCTTGTGCTTCATGCCAGAAGTCAGGCTTACGTACATGACTGGCTGGAGATAACTGGAAGCCACCTTTGAGATATCACTCTGAAAATAAGATCATCAAAATAACGTTCTGGATTAAATTTTATGATATGCTGCTTTTCTTTGGTGTATTATTTTTTGAGCATTATTAGGGCGTAATTGGCAAATAGAATTGTACTATATGTAAAGTATACAACGTGATTATTTGATATACGTGTACATTGTGAAAGCGTTTTCACAGTTGAGTTAACACATCCATCACTTCACATATTTACTTTTTTTGTGTATGCCTGAGAACCCTTAAGTCTTACCCTCTTAGCATATTGCAGTTATACTACACAGTATTGTCAACTGTAGTCATCAGGATGTACTCGTACATTACATCCTCAGACCTTATTCATTTTATAAGTGGAAATGTGCACCCTTTTACCATCTTTTCCCCATTTTCTCCTTCCCCCAGCCCTTGGCAACCCTCTATCATCATCATCATCATCATCATCATCATCATCAGGTACAACAATTGGTCTTAAAACACACAGAAAACCACCTAATTCCTCAGTTCCATCAGAAATGTATAAAGGAGCTAGCAAAGGATGCATTGTGATTCAGTTGTAGTGAGGTGCTTCTGCAAGGTGTCTGGTCGCTGACAGACAGGACCATTAAAACCAGCACCCATTGGGCCGGCCGAGTGGCTCAGTTGGTTAAGAGCTCGCTCAAGAGTGCGAGCTCCGAGCAACAGTGTCGCCAGTTCGATTCCCAGCCCAAGCTGAGCTGCCACTGAGCTGCCAACAGGTGGCAGGATGGCTCAGCTAACAACAAACAAACAAACAAACAACAAAAAAAAAAACAACACCCCTGCAGACATTTAGCATCGTTTGGCTTCTGCTTTTGAGAATTCCCCAGGGCTACAAAGTAAAAGCAGCAATAATCCTCTATTGTGACTTCAGATCTAGAGATACTCCTAGAGCACGAGGAAGGGAGGTGAGCACATCAGCAAATAAAAATCATTGGAAACACTGTGGTTTGACTTTAAAGCTGTATTTTGTTGTTGCAGTTATTTTACTGTAGATGGGGGACATTAGGCAGGGTAAGGCCATTGGTGAGGCATGGTAGACTTAAGAGAAACAAAGGACTCTCTTCTGTCCCTATTTCTTTTCATTAGTTGATAAGAGGGAAATGTCACTGGAAACAACAGCTCCTGCCTTTAGAGAGAACAAAAGATCCTAAGAGACGACTGCTATTATTGATTCGGGGCCATGAGCACTCAGAACGATGCAACTGGATGCAGAGTAATTCCTTTGCCTCCCGTTGACACTAACCATAAGCCAAGCAGATAGGTCTGTATGCTAGTTTCAGCACTGTGTTTCTGGGTTGCCAGTATTCTGGGAATAAATAGGTGCTACTCATTTCAAGAAAGAAACTCACAGCAAGCAAGGTGGGAGGTGAACACCATGTAACTAACCACCCGGTATTAATTTGCAAAAGCCAGTTAACTGCTGAGCTTTCTAGTTTGAGGGTTATCAGGGAGTTTGTTTTCTTTTTTAATGCTCGTGACTGTGGCCTTGTCAGAAGAGGTCGCCTATGGATTTAATCAGCGTGGGAAGTGAACAGCCATGGTCCCTATACAAACAGTTGTCACATTACTTAACTGAAATGGCGGTGAATGTGTCACCCTGTGCCTTATTCAGATTCCGGTGATGTAGAATTATCCAGTGCATGCCCCCTGTCTCTTTGGGGGAAATGATAAAACCCTTATTAGAACACTTCTGCTTCCTGGGGGAACAAAGCGGGGTTTAATGTTTTGAGCACAGACTGACTTTCAGGCCATGTATCAATCAGAGAAAAGTTACTGACAGTGATAATAGGGCCTTAAGGAGACTTTTTTTTTTTAAGATGAAGAGAGACTAAGCTATCTAGGTTTCAGACTCTTTGAGCTGGGAAAATAAGTTCAAATAAGAAGAGTTCTGGGAATGCCCTTAGGACAGTGATTAATTGACTTATTTCAAAGCGCTCACAGACCATCATCCAGTCTCTCTCCCTCCCTCCTGCCCTCAGCCCCTCCCTCCCTCCTTTCCTTCCTTCCTCTTTTCTGTCCCTCCTTCTCTCCTACCTCCCTCCCTCCCTTATTCCGTTCTCCCTTCCTCTCTCTCTCCCTCCTTCCTTCTTTCCTTCCCTCTTTCATTTGACAGTTAACTAATAGCTTAAGCACTGTATATATAGAAAAAAACCTCCAGTATCTCTCAGTTTGGGGTGTGCACGCGCATGCATGTTTGGGAAGAGACTGCTTTTACCTAGGGAAAGATACAAAAAACACAAAAATAATTATTTATAAAAAAATAATTATTTACAGGGTTTATGTAAATAAAATAAATATTTGTTGGTAGGAAGAGAATGATGTGCCTGGTGTAACTGGGAAATATTTAATGAGGGCAGTGACTTTTTAGTTGTATCTTAAAATAAGAATCAAAGAAAATTAGGTGCAGCTGGAGATGAGCATTTTAAACTGAAGCAAGAAATTCCCCGAGGTTTACAGAAGGCAGAGGAAGCCAGCGGGCACTTTCAGGGAACGGCAAACCTTTCAGCGTGCCGGGAGATGGGCAGCAAAAGTGAGATGGAACCCATCAGGTAGGGTCTCAGGTCCCACTCTGAGTCCGGGCCGTGAGCAGTGTTTTTCACATTTGTATCTTCTCACGTGGATTTGAGGGCTGCGCTAATTCAGCCCTGTTTTGAGGCATGCGACTATTTCCATGTAGAAATGAAACAAATGAAAGCTCTGCAAATCCTGATGAAAACAAATTATAGTTGGTCCCATTTTTAATTAATCTTTCTGTACAGAAGTCTTAGAGATAGCGTACGATCGCCCACATCATTTATGTAACACAATAATTTATTTTCTATTTACTATGGCTCACTGCAACATTACACTCAATAATATGTGTCTCCCAGGCATTTTAAATAGGTTTTTGTTTTACCTACACATGCAGTTCCAGGCCCATCGCATGGAGAAGGGCGCGTGCATTTTCCCCTCTCACTGATGTGACAACACAGAGCGGTCAGTCTTTGCTGCACTGGCCACTGCACACTGGTTGGGTCACGTGGTTTATTCATAGTTCATAGTGTAGTAATAGGTAGTTCTTCGAATTTCAAATGCAAAATTTAATTAGATCAGTTTGCTGTGTGATCACTCTTTAAGTCACTCAGCTAAAACAACCTTCCCAGCATCTGCCAGATAAGCCTTGAAAGTTGAATATACCGTCAGTGAGACCGTCGCAGGAGGACACAGATGTCCTGTGTAGGATTTGTTTGCAAGCCTGAGCTAGTAACACACAGTATCCTGGCCAGAGTTAAGTCTGGCCTTCATCAAATAAAGATGTCTTTCTTGTTTTTATTTGAAGTGGAAACTTTACTGCCAGGCTCTATAAATAAGGACAGTTGATGTAGTCCGAGGTTTGTGGTTTTAGAACCCCGTGGACATAAATAGTCTGTGGGCTTCGCTAAGGTGCTCTAAGGCAGGTGTGAAGCCACTAACGTTGACGTCCCTTTTCGTGTTTCTCCATTTTTTAGGTCCGTGATGGGATCAAACAAGGAACCAGACCTTGTGCATCTCGAGGCCAGAACTGCGGATGGCCGTAAGTAAATCGGCTTTTGCACACAGCCCATAGTGATCTTAGTTGGATCAACCTGCTACGAGCCACGTCTGGAGTCAGGGAATTCAGTGGTGATAATCCACATCTTCTTCTGTTCTTAGCAATTCAGAATTGTCTTAATATTTCTCAACAACTCTCATCCAATCAAGGTGTTTTTCTTTCTAGGTGATGAGAACATTCAAAAACCCTTACTTCTTGTGTTTTCTTTTTTTTGGCTACTGTTTTGTTTTGATTTATTTTTCCAGTTGGTTGTGTTTGTTTGTTTGTTTATCAGACATCATCCAGGCAGCACCTCACTGTCTTGTTTGGGGAGCCACAAAGCACTTAGAAAGCACGAGAGAAAAGGAACTCACCCTGTGTGTCCCCATCTTAAGTAGCAGGAGGAGAAAGCCCTGTCAGTCAGTTGTTCACCCTTTGGTAATTCAAACAACCCCAGTTAGGTCGGCTTCCGTGAAGAACTACACGTCCTGTGGAGATGGCGGCTTTAGGTGCATGAAACAGAGAAAAGCAGCGTGTAGATCCAGATTTCAAACCCCTGTCTGAAGAATTCAGATGTCCGCTCACTAATTGCATGACCTTGAAACATCTGCTTAAACTCTTCATGCCTTAGTTTCTTCACTGTAAATTAAGTAAATGAATAGTAATGAGTCCTCTAGTAGCTAACATTCACTGAGCACCAGTGCTTTCTATACTTTATCGCAGTTAATTCTCACAACAATTTGTAAGTTGTTATTCCCTTTGTAGATGAGGAAACCACGGCATAGAAAATTTAAGAAATGCGCATAAGTTTAAACAACAACGTAAGTTTCCTTCTCCTTCGTTGGTCCTGAGGATCTCTAGAAGGCTGAGGTAGTTGAGGGGGTGCCGCCAGACCTAAGACTGGCCACTAAAGGGGAAAAGGATGAAGGAAAAAGGGAAAACGTATAAAAGAAAAAGAGCTGAAGAGAGAAAAGAGTGGGAAGAAAGAGGCCTCAGGTACAGAGGAGAGAAAGAGAATATGACTATCAGTTACCACAGAGCAATGAGGCTATTAGAGGTTGTCCAGCACTGAGCCAGAGAATAATCTAATTATCAAGATAGTTCCTGTTTCAAAAATGTCCCTGACAAGCTCCCTTACCAATGTCACTTGTGCCTCCTTGCCCTCAGCTCTTCTGAGCACAAAGGCAGACAATACCTGTACTTTACAAGCTTACAACTGAAAGGTCATCGGTCACCCCTGCAACCCAACTCTCCAGAGACCATACATACTTTGCTACTGTGCACACACCATGAGATTTTTTATCTCTGCAGGTCTCACTTCCCCTTTGGGGCATGAATATACTCTTCGGCAGATTCAGTGGAAGGACTGACAGGGTCCACGCTGACCACTGCCTTCTTTCTTTACAAACGCAAGCAGGGCTGCCTTAGGTCACGTGCCCAGCACTGTGCCTGGCACAGAATACACCCAAGAGTAGAGCTTCTTTCCCACCCCTTCCGTGGCCTTCTCTCAGGTGGAGGTGCCTCCATTCCCTGGAGCGGATTATGTTATCTTAGATCCCAAGGTCCGGTGCTTACTACACAATCACCAGAGCAGCCTTTTCTTAAGGCAGAAGGAATCACGTCCTCTGTGTAGAGCTTCGATTTACTCCCATTGCTCTGATGATAAAGAACAAAGTCCCCCCCCTTTACATACACCTGCAGCATAACCTGGTGCCTGCCCATTTCCTGAGTCTCCTCTCACCCTGTCCTGTCCTCACTCCTTGCCTGCAGGCCTTTGAGTTTGCTTTCAGTTCCTGGAACAAACAGGGTTCTCTGTCTTGGCATAAGGCTCTGATACATGCTCTTTCCCCTGCCTGGAATTTTCTCCTCTCTTCTCCCTTCCCTGACCAATTCAGTGTAATTCATCACTGTGGATGGTTCAGATCTCAGGTTAAGAAGCATCCATTTCTGTTTTATTTAACTTTTTATTTTGAAATAATTTTAGACTCACATAAAAGTTGCAAAAAATTGTAGAGTCCCCCCTGTAATGTTTACCCAGCTTTCCGCAAAGATACCATCCAACAGAACCATTGAACTGTAACAAAATCAAGGGAAGTATCATGTCTTAGGGAAGTCTTTCTTGAACTCCCAATCTAAACCAGCTTCTCATTTTGTTTGCTTTCATCCAACTCTGCTATTTTCTTTATTGTGCTCATCTCAGTGGAAAAATTACACATTTCATTTACATGATTATTTGATCACAACTTTTTCTCTCCACCAGTCTGTAAGTGCTATGAGCACAGGAGCCATGTCTGTCTTTGTTCAGCCCTGTTTCTCCAGCACTTACCACAGTGTCTACATGTAGATAGGGCTTAATAAATATTTATTGAATGAACAAATGCATAGTTGAGCAAGTGTCAGAGTTACCAGCTGGCTACCTAACCTCACTTACCAGGTTGTCTGAAAATTTTAGAGCACTGCCTCTCAAACTTGACCATGCATTCGGCCCACCCAGGGACCTTGTTAAAATGTACATTCCGATGCAGCAGGGGCCGGAGAGCCTGCATTCCTAACAAGCTCCCAGGTGAAGCTGATGATACTGGCCTGTGAAACACGCTTAGAGCAACAAAGTCCCATAATGGAAAACTAATGAAAGAGCTTTAGGGTCGTCTCCCATGACTACACCCCTTGTTTAGAAAGCTCTGGATGGAATCAGTAGCATCCTCGGTTGCTTTTGTTTTCAAGCTTTTGGGAAGGATGCTGCATACTGGCTTCTGGCATGTAATGCACATAACCCCATATCCTGAAAACAACAAGCCGTCCCTTCCCCTGACCTACACGTTTTTTGTTTTTACCCCACATTATTCCTGTGCTCCCTGCAGGCATGGAGGTTGATAATGCCAAACTGTCATCTCCGGCTCAGCTTATACAAGGCATGAAATCTATCAGTTCTAATTTTATTTATTTTATTTTACTTTTTTTGCAAATGCAGCATCTTCAGTAAGTATCCAAGAGTGAAAATTCAATAAAGGGATTTAATTTGAAAAGTTATCCCTGTCAAAACAAAACATAAAAAAAATTAACTACCAATTGAAATAAAGGATCTCAGTATAATGCCTGACCTGACTGAGTGTAAAAAAATGAAATTTACTCAGTATCACATTCCCTTCCCCTT